GTCGGTGTAGATGTAGATGTAGATGTGAGTCTCGCTGTTGATGTTGATGTATATGTAGATGCAGGTGTAGATGTAACTGTAGCTGTCGGTGTAGATGTAGGTGTTGCTTTCCTAAATGCTCCAACTCCTAGGCAGGGTCGCACTGGGATAATATTTGACTATGTCTTATTCCCTACCTAGGCTCTGCCTTCAAGGGTGCTTACTCTCTGGGCTTAAAGGGGCCGGGCAGTGGAAAGCGCCCCAGGCGGTTCCCCTAGTATCCGCCCCGCGGTTCCCCCAGTTACGTCCCCTTAGCTTAGCATTGCTTATCTCATCTTAGCTTAGCTTATTTCATCTTAATCTAGCTGAGCTTCATCTTAGCTCAGGCTTATCTTAGCTTAGCTTACCTTCATCTTAGCTTCGCTGAGCTTTAGCATAGCAGAGCACATCCTAGCATAGCATAGCGTAGCATAGCATAGCGCAGCTTAGCATAGCGTAGCATAGCGCAGCTTAGCATAGGATTGCATAGCTTAGCATAGCACAGCGCAGCATGGCATAGCATAGCTTAGCATAGCATATCATATCATATCATAGCACAGCATAGCACATTCTAGCATAACATAACATAGCATAACATAGCATAACGTAGCATAGCATGGCATAGCATAGCATAGCGTAGCATAGCAACTAATGCTGCTTTCCTAGGGGCTCCAACTTCTAGGTAGGGTCGCACTGGGGTAATTTTTCGTTTGGAATCCGTATGAAGGGGGGCACGCCCGACCTAAGTTTGGGTCCAGCCCTGCCTCAACTGTTGCTGCCTCCCCAACGAACACGAAACGGGGAGCGGCCCTCTGAGGAGGCAGAGGGCCTCTGAGGAGGCCTCCCGCCTGCTGGCAGCCTTCGGCCAGTGATGTTCGGTGGAGGGGCTGCGGGACATCCGTGAGGGCTTCGCCCCCCGCCGCCGGCCCCCCCTCCATCAGAATGTGCTGGGATTCCTCTGCGCCGTTGCGAAGCAGTGTCGGAACCTCCTGCGAGGGCGATTGGCAGGTGGCAGATTCAGGTTCAGAGCGTATTGTTGAAGTCCGTAGTGTCATTTTCGAGCGTATTGTCGCGCCATGTATTGGAGCAGCGACTCGGGGCTGCTTGAGGCTACTTTGGACAACATCGCGTGGCTTTGGCTTCCCTCTTGGGATGCCTCTTGGAAGCCTGTTGGGGCGGCTTGGCAGCCACTTGGAGCCCTCTTTCGCCCTCGCGGGGCTGAAAGCTCAAATCTTTGGTTCGTGGTCCCGCTTTGGACTTCTCTTGGCGCCATCTTCAGGAGTTCTTGGGCCGTCTTGGGTGCCTCCTGAGCTGTCCTTGTGCCCTCTGGGGCTGTCTTGGGGCTCTCCTGGAGGCTTCTTGGGCAGTCTTGGGGCGGTCGTGGCCTCGACGGCGCGAATACTTTTACATGTGCTACAGATCATGGCCTCGAGGGCGAGAATCTCCGGTAATACACGAGGGGTCGTAGCCTCGAAGGCGAGACCGCGGTGTAATTTACGAGGGTGTATGGCCCAGGGGACGCGAATATTGTTTAATTTTCTATGGTTGATGGGTCCAGAGGCGCGAATATTGCATATTTGCGACGGCGTATGGCTTTCCGGGACGCGAACATTGTATACTTTATTATTGTTTATGGCCTCGAGGACGCAACTATGGCGACCTATTGCGTGCTTTACAAGGCTGTATGGCTTCGGGGACGCGACTATTGAGTAATTTACCAGGGCTTATGGCTTGAAGGGCGCGAATATGGTGTAATTTACAACCTCGGGGACGCGAGCACTGGTTTACTTACGAGGGTTTATGGATTCGGATGCGCGAGTACAGCGTAACGTACGAGGGTTTATAGCCACGGGGACGCGAATACTTTGTAATTTACATAGGTTCAGAGTCTCGGGGACGTGGAAATCATATAATGTACGATGGCTTATGGCCTCGGGGACGCGAACATCGTATACATTTCAAAGGCTGATGGCCTCGGGGACGCGAATATTGTGTGATTTACAAGGGTTTCTGGCCTCGGGGACGCGATTATTGGGTAATGTACGAAGGTTTATGGATTCAGGGACGCGAGCATTAAAATATTTTTATGTGTCCCACGCCCCTCCCTGGAAATCTGCGAACCCTGGAGGGGCGTTGTAACTTTGCGCTTTTCGGCTCGCCCCCCTCGCGCGTTCAGTAACGATTGACAGTAGGAAGCAGAGAGTAGAGCCACCACATTGGAAACTGGAAGCTGCAACTGGCGCAGGGAACCCCAAACCTTCGCCCTACAGCCTGGTGGCCCCACGAGGGGGCCGGCGGATCTGGAAACCTGAGGGTCTTCGTAGGGTCTCGGGGGCCTCCTGGGAGCTCTTAAAGGGGGGCTCCACTGGGGGGCATCTTGGGTGCCTCGGTGTGGCTTGTGGAAACCTCCTGTGCTCTCTTGGGGCCTCTTGGAGTGCGTGGAGGCGCTCCTGGTGCCCTTCTTGGGCCTTTCTTGGGGCTTTTCTGGGTGCCGTCCTGGGGGCCTCTTGGGCTCACCTTGGGAGCATCTTTGGCTAGCATGGGGCCCTCGTGGGCAGTCTCAGGCTCTCTCTAAGGCCTCCAAGGCCGTCTTGGGCCGATTTTGTTTGGCCTCCTCGGCCGTCTTGAATGCTGCTGAGGCCGGGAAACTGTTCATGATGAAGGCATACAAGAACTCACGGGATTTGGACGACGTTGGGCTTGGGGGCTTGCTTTGGGCCCTAGTTGAGCACTATTGGGCCGTACTGGGGGCATCGAGCGGCGTCTTGAGGCTATGTTGGGTCGTCTTGAGGCATCATACGCTAATGTTTGTCCATCGGGCGCCATCTTGGGCCCCCGTGGGAATGGGCGAGCCCACCCCCTCCTTTTTGCCAATTACGTAGCCACTTGGTCAGTAGCCCACCAGCCAGACCTCCAGAGATCTCGACACGGCAAATTCCACCCCGCGCTGGCCAGCTCCCACGCTGGGGGCCTGCCGTGCTTTCGCAGACGCTTCGCGTATAACTCACCAGCCGGCTCGCGTTGCGCCTGGTAGCTAATTAGGCTGGCCCGTGCCCTGGACCCCCTCTCGCCGCCTGCCCTCTGCTGCGCGGCCGCGACCCCCCCCCAAAAAAGTATAATTCACCACCCGACCATCCAGAAACGATTCCAGGGCGAGTTCCATGGAACAAGAAGGTGTATCCCGCAGGGGTCCTTGCATGGATCGTCGAGTCGCTGGCAGACTGGCGAGGGACCCGCCCCAGATTCCGAAGACGGGCGGCTCCGACGCCGCAGCCCGTGTGACATGCAGGTCGCCGGCGCCAGCTCCCAAGCAAAGTTGTGGAGTCTCGGGCGCTTTCCCCCGTCTGCCGGGGAACGCCCGCGGCCGATGCAGACGTTGGCGGAAGGCGCTCGAAAGAAAGATCATGCAGTAGAAGAAGCGGCAGACAGAATGCGGTGAAGAACGATACCGCTTGAGGTGCCAGCATCCATGCTTGATGTTGTAAGGCGCGCGCTTTCCTGTGGATGGATGCCCAGTGGGGGGACATAGTACAAACCTGAACCTCACGGGATCGAGTGATCAGATGTGACCAAACGATTTCTGGGTCGCGAGCAAGACTTCTCGGACGATCCAGTCTCAACGCCCCCGCCTGCATGTTCAAGTGTAGTATTCAGCGGAGTCCTCTTCTTCAGCAGCGAGATGCAAGCTTGAAGATCTGTTCTGTGAGACACTTGGATCCCCTTGGAAAAGCGTGTGAGCAGCGATGCGCTCGAAGTTGAGATAGTGAAGCATGCTTTGCCTGTCGGCACGAACGTGATATCAATCACAGGCTAGATTTCGCGAAACTGCTAGCACCGACGCCGCGCATAGTATTATGCCGATCGGCCATCTCCACAGGAACCCGTTACGGTCTGGCGGAGGCTCGCGAGCAAGATGTCTTCTGGGTCGCGCATGGTGTCGCAATCAAGATGTTGGTGCTGGTGTGGCTTCTAATCGTTGGAGGACGTACTGCGCCGTCGCGGGCTGTAGAAAGCCATATTGGAGCCACCAGATCTTCTTCAAGATGCGGACATGTTCGAAACAACCCATGTGTGTTCAATGCTATGGATTTAATCGAAGGGGGTGACACGGATTAGCGCCGTCCTCCTGGAGCCCGGGAACTCTCCATTTGGGGCGTTCTCAGAGTTCTCTTGAGGTGCCTTTTTCAAGCCTCGATGTGTCCCCGAGGGTCTTTTTTGGGTAGTTATTGGAGCCGCCTTGCGACATCAGAAGCCCATCGGAAGCTCAAAGGCGAACATTAATAATCCACGTGTGATTCTTAGGTTCGATGGGCGTTTCGGGAGCCTCCTTGGGAATCTTTGTGACCACTCGGTCCTGGTTGGGATCGGTATTGGGCCCTCTTGGAGGCACGTGGTAGGCTCGTTTGAGCCATCTTGGGATAGCCTGTGCCATCCACGAGGCAATCTTGGGCTGTCTCTCACCATCTCGGACAATCTTGGATGTGCTAACTAGCCACAGCAGGGGTGAGGGGGAGAGTTGGACCCCCCCCCATAACGGAGGGGAAAAAAGTGGAACAAAGAACGTGCGACACCACATCGCCAGAGATCCCACGCTCCGAAAAATTGGAGCGAAGGGTTTCGCCGTTTTCGGCCTCGGGGGGCCCTCGCGTGGCCTCGGGGCTGTCAAAACACACGACTCAGGACGAAAAGTTGGCCCTTGGGAAGTGTTCCAAACCTCCTGACCCACGCATCGAAAACATTGGAGCGGCTGGATGTCTGGGTCCGCCCAAAGGCCCGTGGGATCCTGGAGGGATCGGGGAGCTTGAGTTAGCTTTGGGGGCTATGTTGGGGCACCATACACCTTCCTATAGGCCCACAGAGCGCGGCAGATCCGCCGGAACTGTGTCAGGCTTGTGGGCTTCAACCCGTGCCGCGGTTATCATGCCCATGCACTGTTGTTGACACGGACGGACCCTTGCGACCTGCCGGAATGCGCCACTGAAATGATGGATGGGCAGATGTGTGAAGTTGATACGGCTTTGCCAGACGGAAACCCGAATTACAATATTGACAACTGTCCAGGTGGTTACGACGTGTGGCAGCTGATATGCACGCCGACACCAGCTCCGACACCAGCACCAACTCGGGCGCCCATGTTCGAACTCATGCACGCCAGCCCGAGGTTGAGTAATAATGGAAGTTTAAGGTGACCCCAGGTCAGAATGAGCCGGGGCGATAGATCTTACTGATTCTTGGTGCGTGGCTGAAGTGGGGCTCCGCGATGCGAGCTGATTCATTTTTTTTGAGGGTCCACTTCTGAAGAATCATGTTGTTGATCCCTCTGTCTGGCGCGCGTTAGTTGGTCAATTGAAGTGCCCCCCCCCCCCGACTCGCACGCTGTTTTGGCTTTGTCAGGGGAAGTCTTCAGCCTCGAATTGCGCCCCTGGCCCCCAGACTATTACAACAACAGCTCCCACCTGATACTTCCTCACTAGCTCTTCAAAATCGTGCTCTACCCCGAGACGTCCTCGCAATTTACCCAGCAGTCGCGCTCTCGCCCGACACTTCAGAACAATTCACCAGGACGCTGCGCTCTCGAGACGTCGGAGTTGCGCTCTCGCACTCGACTTCCTCTCAATTTGCTCGGGACTCGTGCTCTCGCCTGAGGCCCCCTCGCAATGTGCAGAGTTCGCTTCAGTGTCCCAACCGCGCGACACGCCCGCCAGGGCCCGCCCGCCCGACCCGCTCGCTGAAATGTCCCGCCCGACCCCGCTCGCAAGGGCCCGCCCGCCCGACCCGCCGAGTAAGATCCGCCCGCCTGACCCGCCCGTTAGGGCCCGCCCGCCCGACCCGCCCGTCCGGGCCCACCCGTCCGCGTGAACGAAAGCTTTCCCGCCCGCTTGAGTGCCCCGCCCGCCGCCCGCCTGGCCGGCCCATTGGGGACCGCCCGCCCGACCTGCCAGTCGGGGCCGGCCCGCCGGACCCGCCGGTCACCATCCGTTTGCCGAAGTGGTTGTTCTTCTTTGTTTTTCCCCCAGATCTTTTGTGCCCTTCATCCTCCTCTCCTCTTGCCTCCCTGCGTTGTCGCTTCCTCCTCCCTTCCTCAGTCGCTCCCCCCCCCTCAGATCGTCTTGTCCCTCCTCTTCTCCTCCGTTCCTTGCTCTCCTTCGGGAAGCACTCTCCCCGTTCCTGTTTCCTCCTTCTCCTATTTTGGAGGCCGCGCCAACCACCCGTGGCAGGCAAAAAGAAGACATACCCCCAAAGGGGGTACGATCGAAGACAAGGAGGGCGCGTATCGAGGGTTTGGGGCATTCATGTTGAGTGGCACGCGGGCAACGAAGAGCGAACTGTCTTACCATGACTGTTATTCTCGTCGTCGCCACCGCGCGACCCACCTGCGACGCACCCGCCCCGCGACCCACTCGCGAAACCACCTGCGACCCGACCCGCCCGCGACCCACCCGCGCCGCGACCGCGCCGCGACCCACCAGCGGCATTGCGTCAAACAAACTGGCGCCAACGGCGGGCCGACCCACCCACACTGCCTTTCAACCTAATCGCCACAGAGCTCCCCAGCCAGGCGCCCGCAACTGCGGGGGAGAGTACTTTCTAGCGGCCTGCGCCCCGCACATCGGCTCCTGGCCTACACTGCTGCGCCCCCTGGGCTTCGTAGAGCTGGGTCTGAGTCTCTTCGGGCCTGTCGGGGCTGGTACTGATGGCCTGGGGCCATTGAGGTCCGAGATGGCTGGGGAGGCGGACGGCGACGAACGACGACGACGACGACGACGAAAACAAACCGCCGAGCTGCAGAACATTGCAGTGCAAGACACGAGGTGCCCCCGTGGCAGGGCGCGGGGGCCCAGGGCCCCCCCTTCCTCCTCCTCCTCCTCCTCCTCCTCCTCCTCCTCCTCCTCCTCCTCCTCCTCCTCCTCCTCCTCTTCCTCCTCCTCCTCCTCCTCCTCCTCCTCGCTGGCCAGGGCCGGCGCGAGACCACGACGACGAGGCGGCTGCCGGGGGCGAGGCAGGACCCCAGGGGCCAGGGCCGGGGGGGGGCTCCGACGAGAGGACGCCGAGGGCGAGCGGGGGAGGCTCCGGGGCCGGGCGGGCCCAGAGTGCCGCCGGAGGGCCCAGGCTCCCGGAGCGCGCCGCGGTGCCCGTGGGCTCCGGCCCAGGGGCGGAGAGGACGAGCGACGACGAGCGGAGAAGAGGATCTCCAGGGCCAGGCGCGCGCAGGGCCCAGAGGGGGGGGGCAGGGCGACGAACGAACACACACACACACACACACACACACACCCGTACTCCATAGGAGGGTCGGAGGGAGGAGGAGGACTGGCCATGGGCATGGGTGCGGGTCGTCGGACCCTGGGGGAAGCTCCCCCTTCGAACGGGGGGGGAGGGGAGCGGGGCTCGTGCCGATTCCTCCGGTGCGATTCGATTCGATCTCGATGGCTCCGGACTCCGAGTCGCCTCGGCTTCGGACTCCGCTTTGGGCTCCGAGTTCTCAATGGAGGCCTACTAGCCTGCAGATTTCCGCCGATTCGACTTTTCCCGACTCGGCTGCCGATTTCCGCCGATCCGATCCACTTCGATTGCCGATCCGACTTGTCGATTCGATTCTGGGCTCTCGCCTAGGGGAGGGGCGACGCGGAGCCGGCGAGATGGGCCAGGGGGGCGGGAGGACCCAGGGCTTCGGGGAGGCCGCGGCCAGGGGGACGATGAACGACGAGCGACGACCACGAAGGAGAGGCGATCCGAGCGCTCCAGAGCACGAGAAGATGACAGGGACAGTCCACGGGACATGCCAGTGGACTTGCCAAGGGACATCTTATTGCAAACTGCTGTGCAGGCTGAGGGTGCCCTAAGATAATTCCCCTCGCTTCACAGAGTGCATGCCCGGAGCACGTACAGTCCAGTCGTTGTGGGGCCTCTTGGGAGCCTCTTGGGGGCCTCTTGGAGGCCTTTTGAGGGCTTAATGGGGCCTCTTTGGGGCTTATTTGAGGTCTCTTGGGGCCTTGGGGGTGTCCTGGGCGGTCTTGGGGCTCTCTTGTGCCGGTTGGCCCCTTCGGAGGTCGCCTCGGCGGTCTCTCGCGGCCGCCTTGGGGCTTTCTTGGGGTCTTCTTGGGCCGTCTTGGGGGCGCTCGTGGACCGTCTTGGCGGCCCTTTTGGGCCGTCTTGGGGCCCCCTTGGGCCGTCTTGGGTCCCTCTTCTTGGGCCGTTTTGGGGTGACTTCGGAGGCTGCTTTGGGCCGTCTTGGGCCTCGAATAGTCGAACAAGCCGAGGGAAAATCAATGATTTGGGCATCTGGAGGCGCTCTTGGAGGCCCTCTTGGGGCCATTTTGGACCGTCTCGGGGCCGTCTTGGGCCGTCTTGAGCTCATCTTGAGCCGTCTTGAGTCCCCCTGGGGCCCCCAAGAGGCCCAAGGGGCGGGTCTCTTGGAGGGAGTTGGTGGGCTATGTAGGCTGTCTGGAAGCCACCACTGGGCGACTGGATGCGCCATTTCGAAGCCGTCGGAGGCCGTCCGTGAGCTGGTCTGAAGCTGCTGGGGCCGCTGGGGTAACCGGCACCTTTCGTACAGACGCCCCCCCTCAAAACCGGCCAGAAGGAACCCCTCGGGGAGAGGTCTGGGGGCAACAGTTTCACACGCCGTAGACCCCAAGGGGTCGGCGGAGTAACTTCTTCCATGGAGCTTGTCGTTCCGTACACTCTCAGACCCCTCATGGTGTCCTAGCTTCACGGGCGAAAGGACGCCTTGTGGTTTTTGTATGTGTTTTGCGTGTGTGTGTGTGTGTGTTGTGAGTGGGTCCCGTTGACATGCTTACCCCGTGACTACAACCATCGCCTCGTCGTAGAAAAGTGTATTTGTGTGTATGTGTGCGTGTGCGTGTGTGCGTGTGTGTGTGTGTGTGTTTGCATTCCCCTGTTGCTTCGAATTTGTGTTTGTCTAAGCTTTTGCGTCGGCGGGGGAAACTGTGTACGCGTGTGTCTGCCCATGTGTGTGTTTGTCTCTCTGTGAGTATATACATATATATACATATGTGTGTCTGTTGCTGTGTTTGTATGTGTGCCTGCGTCCCGATGGGTAAGGACGAACGGATCCCTTGTGTTTGCTTGTGGGTGACAGGAATCACGTACGAACAAATGTTTGTAACGTGGTTCTCGAGGCCTGCGGGCGGACGGGGCCCGTTCGCTTTGCAGGTCCTGAGGGCCGAGGCGAAAGGCACCGGTGTGCCTCGTGCGGCCCAGGAGGCATCCTCTTCCAGTTTGGTCTGGCCTGGTATGGGCATCATGCCTTACCATGTGCCCGTTCATCTCGCTAGTGTATCATTGTCCATGTTTCTCCATACCTTACAATTTGTCCACGCATCCTACTTTACCATTTGTATCATCAGCTAGTGTTATATGTGTGTATGTGTGTGATTGTGTGATTGTGTGTGTGAGTGTGTGTGTGTGTCTGTGTCTGTGTCTGTGTACGCTCCTGTGTCAGTGTGTGTTTTGCCGGAGTGTGTTTGCCGGGGCGTTTTCTCTGGCCCTCGTTCGGGCTCGCTTGTGGGACTTGGCAGGGGGTTGAGGAGCTAAATCGCGAATCCTTGCACTTATTGCGAAGGCCATACGGCCAGTGCCGCCGACCCTGAAGGGGGACGACGACAACGGCGATGACGACGACGATGACGCTCTGGAGCTGAAAGCTTCTCCCAGGCAGGGGTGCTCCCCCGCGGGGGGGGTCGCAACCCCCGGGAACTCCCTGGGGCCCTGCCCTCTCCTGGCGGGGAGGGATCACGGGGAAGGGGCTTCCCTTCGGATCGATTGCGACGTTGCTCGAGTTCCCTCTGGCTGGAACACTTGGGGGAGAGCGGCGACGACGACGACGACTGAAACGGAAAAGCCTTTCACACACGCCGAAAGGGTCGGCGGATTTCCAATGCGTCGTCTTGCAGTCGATCTCGGCCTCCAAACGGCCCTGGAAGCCGAGGGAAGGGCCCCAAGAGGTCCTCATGAGGTCCCGAGAGGACTCCAAGATGCTTCAAGAGTTACGATATTTCGAGTGCCCGCCCCCTCCATAATAGTTACTGAAGAGAGCTTGAACACGAGATCGATGTGACCGAGGAGGGCCGAATTGTATTGTCCCCCGCAGGTTTACCAGCCGCTTGCAGTTACGTGGCCATGTGAAAGCCACTCGGCGTGGCCGCTGTCTTTTTTCCACCAGACAGAGTTGAGCGCCACTGGTGCACCGATTTACCACAGCTCGGACGCTGGCTGGTATCTCTACTACGACCCCGGTTGCGCTGGTGACAGCGCCGGCGATGACAGGTGGATTTTTGACGATTCGATGCCCAGCACGACCGCAGTCAGCGACTTGGACGGAGACGGATCGTGCAGATACAAGGCCCGGCTTAATTCCTTCAGTACGTTGCCGCCCACTGGCAGCGCCACATGGAGAGTAAATTGCGACTCGACCTGGCAAGACATGACAGTCTCGGTCTCCGAGGTGGGACCCGCGCGCCTGGGGCGTCATTCCCTTCCCCAGTTGTTTCTGCAGAGATTCCCGCGACTCTGCGCGATGCTTCCTCGCGTAGCTTGGGGTCGACTCGGCTTCTGCAAGATAGGATCGGGATACGGTCGGCTGTGCTCGATTCGCTAGGGACCGTGGCAGTGTCGTGTCCCTTGATTCGCCCTCCCGTCTTCTGAAGAGATGGGGAGGGGGAGAGGCGAGAAAAGGAAGGAAGAAGAGAATAATAAAGACGGGCGGCTAGATACGCAGACAGCAGACAGAGCATACAATATACGCACAGCGCAAGTCGGGTCAGCATATCTCAGTAGTGCACACGCACAATACAACACGATGGATCCCAACTCGGGCGGCCGATCCACTCGGGGGGGGGCCTAACTTGGGCTGGTCTGGTCGCCTCGTCGGGTCGGGCGGCAGTCAGCACAAGTCGTCAAACAGGACGGGTCGGGCGGTTCCTCAGGCGGCCGGTCTGGCCAGGCGATCGTGATGTGTCGGGCGTTTCGCCCAAGCCAGGCCTTCGTGTCCGAAAGGGCGGGCCCTACATCAGGTGGCATGTCGGGTCGAGCAGGCGTGGTTTACGTGGGTAACCTCTCGGACGGGTCGGTCAGGTCGGGCTGGGTGGACCTGCGGGTCGAGCTGTCGGATCGGAGGAAGATGAACAGCAGCAGTAGTATGAGGTGGGGAGGGGAGGAGGAGGATGCGCAGAAGGTGGAACATGAAGACAATGAGAAACATGAGACGAAGAGCAAGGCGGAGGAGGCAGGGGAAGCACAGAGGAGGCGGAAGAAGAGAAGGATGAGGAGGCTGGAAGAGGAAACATGTTGAAGCAGGACGGGGGGAGCAACAGAGCGAGCAATTGAGCGATGCCGACTATGATGGCGATCCAGCTGCATATGCCCGCTGGAAATCCAAGCGGGCCAATCGAAATGGATGAATCTAAACGCGAGCGAATTGAAACCGGATCACATACGATGAGCTTAACACACGGGCGAATTACAACTGGGTGGTCTCAGGAAGACGAACTCGCTCGGACGAGTCGGTGCAGAGAGAGTCGAAACGGACGCGTCTACATCCAAACTGAGCCTACGATCGGTTGAGCCTAAACCTGGGCGGATTAAAGCCAGATGGTTTCAAACAGATGAGCCGAACGGACGAATCTAAACGGGCGAATCGGAACGGGTGAATTTCAATTCGGGCGAAGCAAAGCAGAATCGATTATCCTTTCTAGAAAGAAATAGACTCACCCCCCCCGGCGTTATCGCTACCACTTTCGGATATGTAAAACATGTATTATTATGACCACATGTCCATCCTAAATATGAAATCACAAAGTCCCAGGCCAGCCGGTATCCCTCCCCCTGAGGTTCCATTGCAAAAAACACTGTGCGGTGACACTTGTATTTCTAACATAACACTTTTTCGCGAATCCCTTGCAAAAAATGGGACGAAGTGCACACGCGCGCGTCGTCGCGCGCTTGCTGAAATCCTTCACATTGCACAGCATAGAGCCCACAGCATATTTTGCACCACACAGGTTGCACAGTTTAGACTGCATCACATAGGTCGCACCGCGTAGACTGCACCACATCGGATTCTCTTTTCTAAACAGAGAATAGACTCTGCCCCCCCCCCCCCCGCGTTATCGCTACCCTTTTCGGGTATAAAAATCATATATGATTCTGACCACATGTCCATCCTGAATATGAAATCACAATGTCCCAGGCCAGCCGGTATCCGCCCCCTTGAGGTTCCCTTGTGAATGACATTATGCGGTGGGATTTTTGTTCGAACATAACACTTTTTTCACGAATCCCTTGCAAAAAATGGGACGAAGTGCAGACGCGCGCGTCGTCGCGCGCGCATGCCGAAATCCTTCAAAAACCTTCGGTGCCAGAAGGATTTCGCAATCGAGTTTCCAAAAAACATACAAAATCAGAGGGTTTCGCAACACTGATTTGCTAAAAAAGCTTCCGCGCGAGCTCTTGCGAAATCTTACGAAAACGATATGGTTTTTGTTCAATACTTTTACAAAGTGCTATTAAACGGGCTTCGCGCGCGCATGTCGAAGTCTGTCGAACGCCCTTGCGCGTGTGCCGTCGCGAGAATCCTCTGCAAAACATGGGACGAAGTGCAGACGCGCGCGTCGTCGCGCACGTATACCGAAGTCCTTCAACACCCATCGGTTTCGGAAGGATTTCAAAATCGTGTGTCCAAAAACCTACAAAAACACAAGGCTTCGCAACACGGATTTTCAACAAAAGCGTGCGCGCGCGCTCTTGCGTCGTCGTCGTCGTCGTCGTCGTCGTCGCCGCCGTCCTCCCTCCTCCCGCGTCGTCGTCGTCGTCGTCGCCTACGTCGTCCTCTGTCTTTCCTCGTGTTCGTCGTCGTCGTCCTCTTTGGCGTCGTGGTCGTTTCCGTCGTCGTTGCCGCCGTGGTCGTCCTTCCTCCTCCTCCCTGGTCGTCGTCGTCGTCCGTCGCCGGCGTCTCGTCGTCGTCCCTCCTATTTCGTCGCCGTCGTCATCGTCGTCGTCGTCGTTGTCGTCGTCGTCGTCTTCCTTCCTCCCTCGTCGTTGTCGTCGTCGGCGTCGCCGTCCTTCCTCCTTCTTCGTCGTCCGCGTCGTCGTCGTCCTCCCTCCTCCCTCGTCGTTGTCGTTGTCGTTCGTCGTTGTCGCCGTCGTCGTCCTCCCTCCTCCCTCGTCGTCGTCTTCGTTGGCGACGTCGTTGTCGTCGTCGTCGTCGTTGTCTTCGTCGTCGTCGTCGTCGTCGGCGTCGTCGTCGTCGGCGTCGTCGTCGTCGTTGTCGTTGTCGTCGTCGTCGGCGTCGTCGTCGTCGGTGTCGTCGTCGTCGTGGTCGCTGTCGTCGTCGAAGTCGTTGGATACGTCGTCGGTGTCGTCGTCGTCGTCGGTGTCGGCGGCGCCATCTTCATCGTTGTCGCTGTCGTCGTCGGCGTCGGTGTCGTGGCCAAGTGCCATCTGGTACCTACCGTCACGGTCTTGTCTTCAGAGGTCTTGCGACCAAGGTGCGGGTGGGAGGGTGGGATGTTTGCACGAGCAGTGGAGAGGACAGCTTCAAGACGGTCAAAAGAAATTGCGCCACATAGACTGCACAACGTAGACCGCAAGACGTACATTGCACAGCATAGAGCCGACAGCATATTTTGCACCACACAGGTTGCACAGTTTAGACTGCATCACATAGGTCGCACCGCGTAGACTGCACCACATCGATTCTCCTTTCTAAAAAGAGAATAGAGTCTACCCCCCCCCCGCGTTATCGCCAACCCGTTCGGGTATGAAAATCATATATGATTCTGACCACATGTCCATCTTGAATATGAAATCACAATGTCCCAGGCCAGCCGGTATCCGCCCCCTTGAGGTTCCCTTGTGAATAACACTATGCGGTGAGATTCTTTGTTCGAACATAACACTTTTTCACGAATCCCTTGCAAAAAATGGAACGAAGTGCAGACGCGCGCGTCGTCGCGCGCGCATGCCGAAATCCTTCAAAAACCTTCGGTGCCGGAAGGATTTCACAATCGAGTTTCCAAAAAACATACAAAATCAGAAGGGATTCGCAACACTGATCTGCTAAAAAAGCTTCCGCGCGAGATCTTACGAAAACCATCGGTTCTTCAAGATTTTCACAGAATGCTATTAAACGGGCTTCGCGCGCGCATGTCGAAATCTGTCGAACGCCCTTGCGCGTGTGCCGTCGCGAGAATCCTCTGCAAAAAATGAGACGAAGTGCAGACGCGCGCGTCGTCGCGCACGTATGCCGAAAACCTTCAAAACCCATCGGTTTCGGAAGGATTTCACAATCGTGTGTCCAAGAAACCTACAAAAACACAAGGTTTCGCAACACGGATTTTCAACAAAAGCGTGCGCGCGCGCTCTTACGTCGTCGCTGTCGTCGTCGTCGTCGCCGTCCTCCCTCCTCCCGCGTCGTCGGCGTCGTCGTCGTCGCCTACGTCGTCCTCTGTCTTTCCTCGTGTTCGTCGTCGTTGTCCTCTTTGGCGTCGTGGTCGCTTCCGTCGTCGTTGCCGCCGTGGTCGTCCTTTCTCCTCCTCCCTCGTTTTCGTCGTCGTCCGTCGCCGGCGTCTCGTCGTCGTCCCTCCTATTTCGTCGCCGTCGTCGTCGTCTTCCCTCCTCCCTCGTCGTTGTCGTCGTCGGCGTCGCCGCCCTTCCTTCTTCTTCGTCGTTCGCGTCGTCGCCGTCCTCCCTCCTCCCTCGTCGTTGTCGTCGTTGTCGTCGTTGTCGCCGTCGTCGTCCTTCCTCCTCCCTCGTCGTCGTCTTCGTTGGCGTCGTCGTCGTCTTCGTCGTCGTCGGCGTCGGCGTCAGTGTCGTCGTCGAAGTCGTCGGAGACGTCGTCGGTGTCGTCGTAGTCGTTGTCGTCGGTGTCGTCGTAGTCGGTCTCAAGATGTTTTGCAAACCAAGTTGCGGGTGGGTGGGTGGGATATTTGCAAGAGCGTGGGATGTGTCAAACCATGGGTAAAAATCAATTCTCCTTTCTAAAAAGAGAATAGACTCTACCCCCCCGGCGTTATCGCTACCCCTTTCGGGTGTGTAAATCATATATGATTCTGACCACATGTCCATCCTGAATATGAATTTACACTATCCCCGGGGGGCCGGGTTCCCCCCCCTGAGGTTCCCTTGTGAAAAAAAAAAACAATATGCGGTGACATTTTTTGTTCTAACGTAACACTGTTTCACGAATCCATTGCAACAAATGGGACGAAGTGCACACGCGCGCGTCGTCGCGCGCGCATGCCGAAATCCTTCAAAACCTGGTGCCGGAAGGATTTCGCAATCGAGTTTCCAAAAAAAACATACAAAAACACAAGGTTTCGTAACATTGATTTGCTAAAAAAGCTTACGCGCGAGCTCTTGCGAAATCTTAAGAAAACCATTGGTTTTTCAAGATTTTCGCAAAATGCACTCAAACGGGCGTCGCGCGCGCATGTCGAAATCTGTCCAACGCCCTTGCGCGTGTGCCGTCGCGAGAATCCTTTGCAAAAAATGGGACGAAGTGCAGACGCGCGCGTCGTCGCGCGCGTACGCCGAAATCCTTCAAAACCCATCGGTTTCGGAAGGATTTCAAAATCGTGTACCCCAAAAACATACCAAAAC